GAGGACCCTTCCGGGAGATTGCTCTCTTTTGCCTTCGCTTCCTGGTCCCAGTGGCTTTTGGTTTTGGTGCTCTCTTCTGGCTCCACATCGCTCTCCTAAGGACTCTCCCCCCCACACACACTCTGGTCAGTTCTCAGTCTGGGATGCTCGAGTCGTTATCTCTGTTCCATGAGTTTCAGGACCCTCCCTCTCCGGAGGGATCGTTAGCTGGGGCCAGGTGGTCATTTTCCCCCCACTCCGGTCAGCTCTTGGTCTGGGATGCTCGGACTGTTATCTCCGTTCCGTGAGTGCCTTTGGGAGCAGTGCACCCCCCCTTCTGGGGGAATCATGAGTGTAATTCTGGTATCGTTAGCTGGCAACAGGCTGAGCCTTTGGTCATCGGGTGGTGGGGGGACAGTATCACTGTGTATCACTCATTCTCTCCCTTCTCCGGGATCATTGGCCTGGGAGCGGGCTGGGCCTTTGGTCATCAGGTGGGGGGGGCAGTATCACTGTGTATCACTCATTTGTATATTTGTATATAGTATTATTTTCAATATTATTGTAGTTTAGTTATTAAATTGTCCTTATCTCAACCCACGAGTCCTCTTTTCCATTTACCCCTTTAATTCTCTCCCCTATCATTGGGTGGGGGCAGGAACTGTGCGAGTGGGTATGTGTGGTTTGGCCCCCAGCCAAGGGTTAACCCATCACACAGCTGTGAAAGTCCCAGCATTTATTAAAAAAAATTACATTTATCTTTACCTGATTCTGTAAAATTTCGAGATTTTTCATTGTTGTCCCATTAATTGTCATGTATTCAGCTTCACTTGACAACCGTTTGAAATTGCTGGGGAGAGGAATTTCATATGTTATATTTTAAATTCAGGCACAGACATAACAGTGAAATACTCTCAGGTTTCTCACATTAGAGAATTCATTAGTTATGCAAAAAAAAATCAAGTAAGAAATTAAAATCTATTCAAATAAATAAAAGAACCGAACATTAATAACTTATTTTAATTTACTGCTTGGGAAAACAAGATTTATGACTCACTTCCCAGTTTCCTACAATGACTCTGACAAATCTCTGAATAAAATCCAGCTCTCCTTTTACCTAATCCTGTTCCGCTCAATGGTTAAGGAAGTATCCCTTCTTTAGTCTATGATGAAATTGAAAAAGTATGTGGTTTCGTTAGTGTTCTGTTATGATCACTGTAGGATCAAGGACAGAGACGGGATTAACAATTAATACTTTGAGAACAGAACAGACTTTTAACACAACTCATCATCAAAACAGCATATCAAAATACATATTCTTATTTTCTACTACTACAAATTTAAACAGGCTGTTAGCGCAATTATTTAGGAAAATAAAAATAGGGTATATTTAAACTATTTTATTTTCATATGAAATAACCATGACCAAAATCACTTGACCTTTACACTCCCTAACAGAACAGGATGAGATCAACCTAAAGGCTGCGTTGGTTTAGAATCAGCGTTAATAAAATAATTGTATTAGATGTGTAATCATATTAGATATGAAAATTATTTCAGTCTCAGACATACACATGTGGTAGTCGGGACCATGAAGTGAAGTGCAAGATCCTCACTAAATGCTTCTGACAAATCAAGTCATGATTGTCTAGGTTAATCATACTGCTGACTGCCCTTTGCGCAAATATAGGACACTCTTTATTGCCTTAGACTAAACAGAATGACTTGCTGGGTAGGATTTAAAACTGCTTTCTCGACTTTTCACAAAATTTTTTTCAGTGCATTCAATTTTAAACTCCCTGGAGGCGCACTCAAATGCTCAAACTTTTCTGTTAGGCACACACAGCTGCACTATTGCTATACTGAAAACAAAAACAGCACTAAAACTTTCAGAAACATGAAATATTCAGAGACTAATGTTATACATTTACATTCCATGCAGTTGCTTGGGCCTGATAGCAAATTTGTTCCTACGTAAGGCACCAAATTATAAGTATTTTCCACATAATTTAAAGGAAAAAAAAAAAGTAGATTCAACTGAGTGTCCTCAAGAAGTTCTATGATAGTTCGGAAATACAGCTGACTCAGAACTGTACCCATAGTCATAATCATTCTGCTCTAGTGTGCTATCCCAGCAACCAACAAAATTGACCAGGAAAACAAAACCTTGGAGGCAAAAGCAGCAGCACTTTCTAAAGTACACAACATTGTGGGCAACAAAACAATACTTCCTTTATTATCTTCAGTCACAACTGCTGAAGTTGGCAAGAATTAAATAGGAATTCTTTCTGTATGGCTTCCAATCCTTATGATCAACAACAAAAGCTACCCACTCTTCCAAAAGCACTTCTTTTTCATCATCTAGGACTTACCTAAACTGCAGTTTCCCCACTTGCTGCATTTCAATTTGCCACTACTCAAACCTCTCATCTCTTAAACCCAGCTGAGTAAGCACCATGCTTTTCCATCTCTTCCCGAAAGCGAAAAGGAGCTTTTGGCTCTTTCTATCAACCCTCAAATCACCCATAAGTGAATTTCAAGATTGTGGATTTACTGGTTCTTGTGTTTCCCCACTACACCTTGCTTCAAAGCACTTAACACAGAGCACATAGTGTTCACAACAACGTTGCTCTCTGGTAGTATTTAAAGACAGGTAACTGTTCCACTGCAGAGTATATTCACTACTCTTTCAGAATCAGATATACTAAAGTTGTTCTCACAGCATAAATTACATATGTTTTATATTATCCAGGTGTTTGCTTTATCTGAATTACTCCACCCTGCTATTAACCCTTGTAGTTGAGAGATTATAGTATATGAATAATAGCCAAGATCAACTGTGGCATATGCCCAACCAACAATTCCAGATGTCACAGCACAGAACATGTTTTGCTTCCACCCCTTCATCTTCCTTCAGCTTGGGATCAGAACTTTATAAAAACGTGAACAGACTCTTTGTAGGGAACTTAGGGACCAAATAACATACGAAGGTTGTAAACAAATACTAAGTCAGTGCTGGTTTTGCAGCAAGGGTGTCAACACATTCCTTGTGAGAAATTTTAATGTGCTATCAGCCATCTGCTGCACCAGTAAAAATGACCCTTCAAAATCACTTCAACTGAATGACAATGCAATAATTCCTTCTGTAGGTGACAGTGTGACCTGAGTTTCAAAGAACAAACCTGCAACAGTCTCAAGTACTTAAAAAGCACAAAACACAAGCGATGGAAATAGACAGCAATTCCACTACTGAGAAGCAAGGCGATGTAGAATCACGCCATCCAGGCCGACAAAAATGAAAAGAGGAAACAAAAAACCCCACAAATTTCTAGTAAGATTTAGGAAACTTTTGGGGAATATCCACAAGAAAGAAATTCCTACTCATAAAATGACTTTTCAGAGTAGAACTACAATTGATGATGAGCATTAAGGGTTACTATGATTGCTTTAGAACAGCTAACATCCTCAGCCTCAATTCTTATGTGCTGCCTGCGAAATTGGATCTTCTCGGTCATTCTGCCTCCTGAGAAGCTTGCAGTGAAGAGCACTTTTTAAGCTTTATTCATTATTCTCTCCACAGGAGATATTATACATAATTTCATATTCAGTAACCCAGACTAAGTGAATGCATGTTATACAGATCAGTAGTTTTCTACTACTTTGATTTTGCAAATCTGTAAAAACTTTGCAGTGAAGCTGCAAGGCACAGTATTGAAAGCCTCCTAAGCAGCATATTCTCTTTACAGACCTCTAGAGTCCAAGTCTTTGAGATTTCTAAGGGTGAATAAACCACAGTAGACAAGAGTTGCAGGAATCCCTATTGAGCTTTAAGGAGTAAAAACAAGTCTCTCCATTTCTCAGAAGCACTAGTTTCTTTAGGTATGAAAGCCATTCACCACAGTCCAAGTAGTGAAGGACGTCATGCCCAGATTATGTTTTATATTTAATTAACCAGTTTTAAATTTATTAGCAAATATTGCCACAGGGCTAGAACTTCTGGTCTGGATAACTAATATGATAGGAGTCCAGAAATTTCCAGCTAAACTAGCAACAAAATCAAACAAACAAACAAACACACAAAAAACAAAACTCAGAAAAAACAAAACGAAGAACAAGAACAGAAATCAGAGGATGGGGGAAGACTTAAGAAAAAAAAAAAATAACCATCATCATTTTTATCCTGCACTAGTCTTCTTTTTCTTCTCTGAATTCGCCCCAAGGAGTGGGCATGCAACCCTGTTCTACCCATATGTCTCAGCCTGCTTTCCTTGCACACAGCCTCAGCACTCCTACAAGCTCCAAATGTCCACAGTGCAAGAGGTCCCACCTGCAGCACCTCTTATTAATGTATGAAAACCATGCCCTTCCTTTTTCAGTCCCTCATGCTCCTGAGCTGACTTTGAAACCTCTCAAAATCATTTAAGTACTCCCTTTCTCATAGTGAGAGAGGGTAAATAAACCTATGCAGTGTCTTGTGTACAACACGTTTCTGACTACATCAGCACCCAAGAGATACAAAAGCCTTATGAAAACCATTCCCTCAATTTCCATGAAACTTCCTCTGAAAATTCAAGGATGTCCACCGTTTTAAGATTAAGAACTTACATTTTTACTTCTCTCGATTTCATGTTGCCTTCCACTCCTATTATAAAGTACAATCAAACATGTCTCATCTTCTTGAATTCTTTCTCTCTTTCCTCTCCTCCTTCAAAGCCATTTTAACCCTCTGCTCTCCTCTTTCACTTCTGACACTGTTTTCTTTCTTCACTGCTGGTGGTTCTCCAATCCAAAAGCCACTCCCTTCCTTCAGGAAGATACCTGGGTCTTCCACTCCCTGCATTCACTGAAGTTCATCTATCACTGTTCAAAATCTAACTACAGTCTCTCTCTTCCATCTCCAATAGGCTGGAAAATGTGTAGATAAAATTAAAATACACCAAGACAAATTTCCTAATAACTGCTATGCAAATGATGTTTTTTCAAACAAAACTGGTACTCAGCTGTATTTGAAAAACCTCTCCTAGATGTGTACCAACTTCTTGTCAAAAGACAATAAAGGTCTCTTAGTATGTAAAGGTATTATAACACAATGATTATAAAAAGCTTGTGTCATTCATTGTTAAATCTAATTTTACTTGCTTACTAGAGCTGTAATGCAGCCTAGCCATGTCCCATGGTTCTGCTATGGCAGAAATCTTTTTTTCTTTCTAATATTTTGCTTTATTTAGGATCTTAAAAGTGGATATAAAAGCTCCATCTAAATATTAAAACAAAACTTGTTTCCCCCTAGTAATGAGAGTCTCTCATCACTTACCTAATGTTTCATGACTCTTACTATTAAACTGAGATGGAATTTTGTTCAGCTGGGAGAAGAGTGTTTATCCGAAGAAGGTACAGAGGCATAAGGAATTTTTTTGTCATTATTCCTGTCAAATAGGTCTTTTTCATCCAGATCTGTGTCACTTAAATTAATAAACTGAAAACTATCTCACAACTCCGACTTCATGCTCACTGACTCATCAGTATATGCTCACTGACCTGAATCCTCCCAGGAATTTTAAGTTGCTTGACAGTGCAATGGAAGTATTTCTCTTCTACTTTCTGCAGAATCACAGATCCATCAGCCTGACACCCTTTGATTAAAAGGCTTCCCATTTTCAGTGTTTAGATAGTATTTCGCTGGCATTAGGAAAAATACTGAAGTTGAGTTTGCCTCAGTATTTGGCTCACTATTTCAGTATATGTGACACGCTAAAAACAGCAGGTAGAATTCAGTACCGGGTAGTCAAAGCAGTAAAAAGTCTTTAAAAATAAATACAGTAGAATCCAAGCTCCTGAGCACAGGAACAAAGTTCTCTCAAATAATGTATTTTATTTCTTCATTGTGTACCACCAAGATACCAAATAGTTCATTGCCTTTCCACTCAAGATTCTCATACATTCACATGAAGTGCATTAGAGCAACCTTCAGCAGGCAAATGTCAACTCTAAGACTTGGTGCTTCTCCTTCCCGGTCTGTAATTATACTTGATTTTAAGATGCAGCTATTACAAATGTGACTGACTTCTGCCAGATAAGCCTTCAAGTAATGATGTTTCTCCTCTGCTACTGAATGACTTCTACATAAAAGATGGATTTTGTATTTCTCCCATCTGAAAGAACATTCAACTTACATGTGATTGCATATTGGGCACTGTGACAATAGTGATCTACAAGTGTGACCATGGAACAGCATTTCCTCGGAGTTCACTTTCTTCTTCAGAAACTCTCACAAGATTTCTCCAAAAAGCCAATCAAAGAAGATGAGCAGGAACAGCACAGTGCTGGAACACCACAGATGAGAGTGCTTCTTGATGGATGAGGCAGGGGAGACGGCTTAGAAGATGCCACGGGAATTCTTTTTGTTAACATTTTAATAGCACTTGGAGAGGGAAAGGGCAACTAAAGGACAAAAATTCAGTCCGAAATCCAGAAAACTCAGGTATATATAATTTCCAAATATTGTAGTAGATACTTGAGAAACGTTTAAAGCTGATATCTGCAGTCATTTTTTTAAATGAAGCTGCATTTTATAAAAACTGGTAATGTAGGGAGCCCTTCAAAATAAGGCTTGAAACTTTAAGAATCTCGTAACAGATGTAAATGATCTACAACTGACATGACATATTTCTAAGTGTCCAGTTTGCAGACAGACTTACTTTGTTAAATCCTGCCTACTTACAGCACAGAGGAATAATGACACAACCCAGAGAATATTTTTCACAGGATTCATGACAGATTAAGCTGTTTTATTAAAGCATGTAATAAACCTCAATGATATTTTCAAACCTAAGCCAGGTAGCAATCTATTATACTGGTACAAGGCAGGATAAAAAGATGCTTGAGTGGCAGTATCTTTCCATTCTCACTTGATTCCACTTGCACAATCCTGTTACACATTTTGAGTACTCATTTGAGCATATCTAATAAACCTAAGTGTTGGGACTACTTAAGGGAAGACAAGATTATTGCCATATCTGCGTTTTTTTGTAGTAACTTTGCACAAATGGTGACAGTCTATCAACAATTTTTTTCATGATAGTTCCCCCACTCTGAGTTACCACTGAGCCAACTCAAGGGATTTTTGAGAAAGCTAGGATGTGTTGAAGGTCTGTTTTCTTTATAATTGATAACTAGGTTCACCAACTCAAACAGACCTGCTGAATACTGTCTAAACATTGCAGCACATTAGCATTTATACCTGCTACCACAGCTATAGAAAGAGAAAATTATTTATACACCTCTGGCAAAATAAAACGTCATCTGCAAAGCTAAATTACAGCATTAATTTTTTTTTTTTTAAAGCTGACAAAAAGCCACAAATTTTGTTCACAAAATAAAACTGAGTTTGAGATATACTGGCTGATGTTGATTAACAAACTTTAAAATTTCCCCCTGGTATCTACTAGTTTTTGCACCTTGTTTGTTTTCAGTAACACTTGGCAGCAGTACACGTTAATTTACATTACCGATAGTAATTTCTAGACAGACATACTTCATAAAGATTTTCATGAAACACCACTTAAAAAGAATAAATCACTGTATTCTTTCAGCTCTGATTACGAGCCCAAATGTAAGGTATAATTTCTAAAAAGACTATGTTTATCACTCTAGCAGGTGCATTCTTTACATTGAAGGGAAGTTGCTTGCTAAAACCTGCAACGTGACACTGGTAGGTGTATTGGTGCTTTGAATTCGAAGTTTATATAAGGCAACTTACCTTGGATTGTAAAGCATCTTTTCCAGATTAAATTCTTTGAGGTATGCAATTACTGCTGCCAGAGAGCAAATAACAGGCTTATCCAAGCTTAGTATTACAGACAGTTTTTGAGGACCTAAAAAAAAAAATTACTTTCTTTTTAACATATTGTTTACTACTTATGTATTTTAGAAAAAGCGTGATCCATTTTTTCAATTGAATCAGATAGAAATCTGTAATCTATGTACAGTGTTTTATGATAGCTACAACTCAATATAAAGTGAGGCTCCAAAATAACATTTATGGTTCCAAAGAATTACAATTTACATTACAATAATGTAAAGACAATATGAAACATAAAACACCTGACTCCACAGGTCTTTCTTCATAAAAATTACTAACTGTTGGCACAAGAAATTTCTAAATATACAAACTAAGAATTGAATTCTGAGATCTCCATTATTGCAGGCAACATCTGTGCAAGTTAAAAGGAATGAACAGGGCTTGGCACATGTGCTGATGATTTATCTTCGTCGGCCAATCTGCAGAATACGGCTCCATCTTGGTGAGACAGCTATTCATATTTGATAGTGTTTCTAAGCAGTACTCTGCTACAGTCCCTGTTCCAGCTGCAGCAATAGGAAAATTCACTCCATGATCTCAACATAAAATGGTATTTTTTAAAACCTTATTAAGTTTTTTCAGGGATGTTTTAAAGCTGTTCTTCTGTTCTTAGAGTGTTAACACACACAAGAACTTGAAGAAACATTTCAGATGTTGAACAATTTCCCTCAGTTGCTATATATGTGTGTCTTTAAATCTGTCTAAACACACATCTTCAACCTATGAAAAAAAAAAGGGATGCTAGCCCTGTACTCAGTTCTGTTTAAATAATGTCGACTTTCAAGGTTCACCTCTCCCAAGCTCAAAAAAATGTGCAGAAAATTAAGCAAAGGTGGCAGAAGGTATGCCTGGATGAACAAGATGCTCCCAATTAACTCAGACATTTAAAAGGAGGCGTTTGAGAGGTGGAACAGGTGACCCAGGAAGAATATATAGACATTGCTTGAGCTTGCAGGGATCAGGTTAGGAAAACGAGAGCCCACCTGGAGTTGAGACTGGCAAGGTACATGAAAGGCAACAAGAGCTTCTACAAGTAGACCAGCAGCAAAAGTACGACAAGGGAAAATGCGCGCCCACTGCTGAATGGGGCAGCAGAAGTGGTGACGAAGGACATGGAAGAGGCTGAGGAACTCAATGCATTCTTCGTTTTGCTCTTTACTGGTAAGATGTGCCTAGAACTGGAGGCCCCTCAGACCAGTGGGAAATTCTGGAGTAATGATGGTTTCTCCTTAACAGAGGAGGATCAAGCTAGGGAACACTTAAATTGGACATAGATGAATCCATGAGACCCGATGTGATGCATTCACATGTATTCCTTACCCAGGTAAAAACTAACAGGAGGCATGTTTCAAAGACATTCTGAATGACATACCTGTAGTACCAGGCACTTCTGCATAAAAATCAGTAACCATCTGGAAAGCATGGCTGTATTCAAAATGGAGTTTTTCCATCCTTTCTATCCTAATTCTGTCATCCCGTAACCTGCAAAGAAAAAATAATTGACTTTCAGTATTTATTGATCCCTTCACGAAGAACACTTAAGTAGGTTAAAAAGTGTACTTTCATCTTTCCTTTTGTTTAGAATTGAATGGATAAGGAGCTACTTGGGTAGGTTGAGAACATTTCTAAGAGTGTGGCAGGGTTTTTTAAACCCTTCTTCTTTCCATTATAAAAGTGCAAACAGATAAAACAGCAACAGCAAGCAAGCCCAAAAGAGACTTCAAGAGGTTGTCTAGTATTCCTCCAAGGTAGATGTAAATATCTTTTCATCAACCATAACAAGTATTTGCCTTATCTATTCTTAAAGACTTAAAATTATTAAACAATGAAGCAATTATCCTATTATTACCATATTTAATTATCCTTTAAAGGCTTTGTTCTATGCTGTACAACCTCTTCCAACATTAACCTATTGCATGTTTTCCTATATGCAGCTGAAATAAAGTCTTCCTGTCCTTTTTTTTCCATAACTACTTGAAGACTTTTCTCTTCCTTGTGCTAAAGGACTTGATTTCTTTCAGTATTTTTGCAGTCCAGGTTGCCAAGGATGTTATTAAAGATAACCCAGTCCTCCCAACATGCCAGTAGTTCCTCACAGTTTATAACACCAGCAAATATAACGAACTTACTCTGTTCCACTGTTAAGCCAAATAAGATCTTTCCATGAATCCTCCCCTACTGTCAGCAAGTAATTGAGAATTACAGCAGTACAGGATTTCAGCCAGTTTTGCAACCCATGGGAAATTAATCTAGCCTGTTTCCTGGGACCCCTGTTTCAACAGCCCACTTATTTAAGACAGTGGTAAAAACCCTTTATTCATCACAATGTGCATGAGCTCAAAGTTGCTCAGTACCTGGGCTTTAGTGTCAAGCAGTACACCAGAGGTGCCAAAGTCTGACTCAGAGAAGAGTATGTGTGTGGTGTTTAGAGTATGTGTGTGGTGTTTATGAGATACAACCTTTCTACATTGGTTGCTTTTCCTAATTGCTCACTGAAAATAAAATTGGATGCCGCATTATCAATTCAATTTGTACAGCTGTTAATACAGCATTAAACAGATATGCTGGTAAAAAAAACAAACAAACAAACAAACAAACAAACAAACCAACCAAAAAAACCATACATGCTCCCCCTGAAACCTTTGAGCATAATTACACAGCTACAGAATTAGCACTGAAGAAGAGGGCAACAGAAACCTGCCAGTAAAAGACATACAAAACTTAACTGGCCTCAGAGTATCCAGTCTCATACAACCATGGGACATGAATTAACCAAATACTTGTAGCACATTGGAATTATGCCAATGAGAGGGATTCTGTAGGTATTACAGGAAGGAAATTAATCAATACTCTTTTTTGCAGGGCTTCACAGAAAAAGAAAAATATTTTCTGCATTACTTTGTACATATTCCAATCTGAAAGGATCAATATGTCTCTGAGGCTCAACTCTTCAAAATAAGAAGTTATTTTCCAATAATATATGTCAAATTAACTGAGTCTTATAGGTCTGACTTTTCTCAGCACATCCTAGATGACTCTTGCTTACTTTGAGTGCCTTAATTTTAAGTGACTGATCCATTTAAGTTTTCAGTCTTTAGACCCTCTGGGAATCCCCTCTGCCCCAAGCCTACTCAAAATAAGCAAACATTTTTAAAGCAAATGGATTTCTGTAAAAGACAATTAGTCTGTGTTTCTCAACCTCTGATAGCAATCAGCTATTTTCTTCCTTGCATTTTCCACTTGCTCCAACCTTCATTAATAATCTGCTCTAACACACACATCACTTTGCTAAATTAGCATGTATACTCACTACAGCCTTTTGCAAGAACACCACTTTGGCATTAAACTTTTAAAAACGTGTTCTATGACATCTGGAGGTTAGCACAGTACAAGCCTTTGATTCAGTCCTGCAAGACAGCAGGGTTTTTTCCTGTTGACCATGTGTGAGTATGGACTTAGAGAAATATTTTTAAAATAGGATTTTATTTTTGATTTCTACTTCTTATATTTTCATAATGCTGCCTTCAGAAAAGCAAGGCTTAGCAATGTCTGCAGAGCTAATTTTTAGAACCAAAGTCAAAACAGGACACTTTGGGGGGTAATTCATTGGATGAGTCATGCCACACCTCCTTGTTTTTAAAGTAATTGTTAAAAATTAATTGTTGTCATTTTCTTCAATGCATTTGTGTTTTTCTTTCATTTCATAACCAAATTTATTGAACTCCTTAGCATAAGCTTTGGCAAATGATAGTTACAATCAATGTAACTTGAGTGAACTCTTATAGCAGTACTTTTTTTCATCAACTATACTGATAGGAAATAGTTCAAACTAGAATTAGACAATTCAGTGATTTGTAATGATCTTTACATATTTCAATATGTAAAGATGGGGCATCATCAAACAAATACCTGACACTTTGTCTGTCTGAAAGTATGCATCTGATACTCTGAAGTAAAAAACCTGGAAGGTTACAGATACCAATTCAACGTACAGAAAAATCTGAATTTTTATCAAGATGTATGAAAACAAAATCTGCTGCAGAAGGCTTTCATGTCTGTCCTTTCTTTAGCCAAATGATCACCCATAGGCCATTTTTCTGATCACAGCCAAAGTGATATGTTGATGCTTATGTTGTTGCTTTATCTCTCCAGCTACCAATGCCTATTTAAATCAGAAGTCAATTTGACATCAGTTTTTGTAAACATCATTCTTGTCAGACCATCTACAATGAACTGCTGTGCAACTCACCCAGTTTATTATTGATATCCTTCCTGAAAACAAGCAACCCTTGTAGTCCCATGACACTGATAGGGCTAGTCAATGATGAAACTCAACTTTTCAAGGCTTTTGTACTTGCCTTGTACAAGTTCTTCTGCTACGACCCTTAACCAGATATTTGCCAAGAAGAGGTGTTTCAGGGTTTCAAACTACCAACTGATACTACAAATGAACCTATAGTGCCCCTTCTCTGCTCCTGAAACACACTGGGATTGGATGCAGAACTGTCTTTCCTCACTAGATGAGTTATGGAAGTTGCTTGAAGAGATGATCATCAGCCACAGCTAAGAATATGAAATCAGTGTGTCCGTAAATAGATGTATAAAGAGTGGGACCCTAAAACACACACATCTACACAGACAGACACACACTTCTGTGTATATAATGTAACACATTAAGTCCATTCCAACCTATACTGTTCTATGATTCCATTACTGCAGGGACTAATTTATTTGTCACCCTACTGGGAAAATGTAAAAGGATCAACATTGCTGGGTTTCATCCCTCTATTTATCTGAAAAATCAATGCACCCACTTAAAGACTCATTGCTTACCAAGTGATGCGGGAAAAATATTTAAAAGAGATCACTAAATTTGAGGTGAAAAAATCTCTATAGACTGAAAAAAAATGCTAGAAGCTAGAAGAATGTAAGCCTACATAAATAAAACTAATTTACAAAAAAATTAGTCAAGATATTTAAAAAATAAAATCATTTATCAATAAAATGATAATTTTATTATGATGAAAAATGATTTTATCAATCACAGGAACTCACTGCAGTGTTCTGAATAAAACAGGAGTCACTTCATTACTGCTCTTCAGTTCACAATTAAACAGGCATAAAGTGCATAAAGACTTCCTGAAAAACAAACGCATCTAAACTAAGTTTTCTTAAAGCTCAGGAAGCCTTCTAAGGAAAGCAAACAACACCAGAATTTTACCTTCTAACTAATACCCTACCCTGCCCATTCTGCTTTAGGACCATTCAAATGCAGGGGTGCAGACACCCTATATTTTCCTATACATTTTATTCAAACTATTATTGCCTCTGCACTTCTCACAATGCACTCTGCTGAGATGACCAGTCTGTCACTGTAGGGAAAAATCCTACACTGCCCAGAAGAGCAAGGTAACCTGAATGCATTAATCCAAGTATACCATGCCATCTTCCCTTATTAACATGCTTAGCAGAAATTGCATTTCTTTTATTTGTCACATTGTGTTACCTTTGTTACACAACTGCTTCTAGCTCAGCAGCTCTAGATTTGAACTCGTCTGTGAGAATAGGAGAACAATCATTCTTCCTTTTTTTGTAAAACTTGGCATGAAGCTCCAGTAGCTTCTCTGGCAAAGTCTCAATGACATTTCCAAGTAGCTGTTCTTTTGGCACCAAGTGCATACATTTTTATAAGCACAGCTTTTTTCTCTCCTGCCAGAGTAAAGTACTTTCCCACATTTGCGCTCAACAACCTTCAGATACCAGAAATGGAGACAATGTTGCTGCAAGGAAAATGGCAGCACAGTCACCTTCTCAGAATGATATAAACCACTGCTGCCTGTAATAACCAATGTAATAACCATGTTGCCACATGTATGCTATCAATATACTACATACAACACATTACCCCACAAGACCTCTAGGTTTTCAAACATCTCATTCCAATACTCTCACTTATGCTAGACCTGCTCAAAAGCCTAGAAGCAACTCTGACACACTTTATATATATACACATACATATATGTATATTTTACATATACATACACATACAGAAAAACTTGGAGAAAACTCCTTGCTTCCATTTTACTATCCAAACTATCAACATTTCTTAACATGTACATCCTGATTTCCTTTCCTTACCTTAGCAGAACTATAGCTGAAAAGAATTCCAACCATATATACAAGCTAAGAGGCTGGATCCAAGAAATTTGAAGAAAGACCTTTTTCAGCTTCAGGAACTCACAGACAAGACCTATCAAGGAAGTGGAGCAAAGAGGCTACCAGAAAAGCAAAGGGCAGAGGCTTGTGTGGGCAGTGTATGACAGTCTGTCTTCTGTAAGGACAGAATTAGGTACTACAGGGCAGAACACAAACGCAGTTCTGCTCCAGCAGCTACTGCATCCACAAATAGAAACAAACAAATATTTTTCAAGCTCCTTCTCTCTGCCTGTCTGAAGAATGGGGTAAGACACACTACACTCATT